GTGACATCTATAGGATTGATTAAAATATAATATTAATCTAAAAATTACATTTTTTATATTTTAATCTAAAAATATGATATATTAGATAATTAGATAATATTTAAAATGTTAGACTCATATTTAGAATTTTAGAGACCTGTTAACAATTATATGTTGAAAATATATATTAGATAATTAGAAAATATATGTTTAAAGTTAAAACTTGAACTAGATATAATAAATTTCAATAATTTTCTAATTAAGCATAAATATTTTCTATTTATCTTATGTATATGTTTAAGGTTTAACATATATCTAATATTTTTAATCATCTAACTAGTTGTAAATAATGTAATATATGCAGAAAATCTGTAGCTTTAAACAAAAAAAACTATCTGAAATATTTTTTTTTCTGCAAATAGCAGCCTATCTATAACTTTTGACACAAAATTTTAATATATGATGGAAATCAATGTTTGAATGTTATAAACTGGAAATTAGATTAGATTATGTTAGATAAACCCTTCCTAACACAGCCTACAACATGAAACACACAAAAACGAAAGGCATACTACATGCAAAAAAATTTGGGGACTCTTGAATTTATCAAGAAAACCTCACACTGAGCAGAAAATTTCAAATACATATAAATATTGTTGAAAAACTTCAGGTGCCTGGTTTAGATTTTATTAGCCTTAAATTGATGAACAAGAGAAGAGAGTACATAGAAACTTAAAAGAGTTTGGGCTATCCACAAAGGCGGAAGCTCCAAAAACAGAGATAAAATAATAGAAGAGTCAAAAAGCTTCTTTTTGAAGGTTACATTAACGGCAAAAGCAACCCACAAAAAGCCATCGATCCAAAAAACTAAGAGCTGTCCGAAGTAGCAGCTTCTTTAGCAAGGTTGTCTGCCACCTGGTTTGCTTCCCTCCAAGTATGCCTCCATAAGACGTGCATATCTTTGCAAAGGTGTTTAATTTCGTAAAAACTGTGAGCCAAAAACCGGGGGGAAGGGGGGGGGCGGGCGGCGGGGGTGGAGTTCGTAGCCCAAGTAATGACATTCTTCAAGTTGCCTTCAAGAATAATGGACTCTATCCTGAGAGGTTGGGTAAGCTTGAGGGCTTCCAACAGAGCCTATCGTCTCTGCTTCCATAGAATCAACGTGCCCAATAAACTTAGAAATAGAGGCAACTGTTGAGCCAAGTTGGTGTCTGAGTATCGCTCTAATTCCCGATGGATCGGGATTTTCGAGGGAGCAACCGTCAAAGTTAAGCATGAAATGGCCCTGGGCAAGAGGCCTCCAAAGAGAAGCTCGAGGTGGGTGCCTGCGGTTATGTTGAAGAGCAGTGACCCAATCTTGGTAAAAGGTGGAAGTGGGAACCTGTTTGAAACTTTAGTGGTTGGTGGTCCAAAATACCACCGATTTGAGCTTGACAAATATGCAGAGCCGGGACGATTGCTCACCCCGAAAGATCCTATTGTTTCGCTTTATCCATATGGCCATAAAGAGGCAGTGACTACTGATTTCCAAAATAAAATGCCTACCTTTGGCCATGGGTAAGGTTGAATGAACAAAAAGATGAGAGATACTGTGACTGGAAGCATCCATTGAACTTCAAAAAGGCGTAGAAGTTCCCCCCAAAGGTTGAAGGCAAACGAGCAATGCAGGAACATGTTTGCATTAGTTTTTCTGTCTGCCATGCAAAGAGCGCAGTGATTGGGTAGCTGAATGCCTAGTCTTTGAAGCTGGTCGATAGTGAGCATCCTCTGAATGCCTAGTCTTTGAAGGTGGTCGATAGTGAGCATCCTCTGAATGCCTAGTCTTTGAAGCTGGTTGATAGTGAGCATCCTCTGGGAGAGTGACAACCACGTGAAGATCTGAATTTTAGGGGGGGCAAACGAAGACCACGCCTACGCAACTATAGAGGTGGTAGGTAGGGGAAAAGTGGGGATTGCGATAATTTTTTGTAGAACGAGGAAACGAAGAATTCCAGAGGCTGTCGGGATCCAAATAATGCGATCCAAACCTTGGGTGGCAAGAAAAAATGCTTGTAGAGCAGCCGAAAGGTCCACAAACTGGGGAACTTCTGTGTCATTAAGCGCTCTTCTGAATACCAGGTTCCACGAGCGAGATGACCCAGCCACAATCATCTCCTCTGCCACCGTCGTTCCTTGAGATCAAGCAAGTGAGTAAAGAGTTGGGAATCTCTCCATAAGTGGTGAATGTCACAGTCAAAGGTCTTTCCAAACTAAAATACGACTGTCATCTCTTGGGTGGAGCCGAATATATTCTTTGAAACGTTGAAATGAAGAGCAAATTGATCTCCAAATCCCTGACGACCCATAGTTCGTGCTGCATACGTGTAACCAAGGAGAGGGTGGAATGCGATATTTGTGGCTTAGAACCTATATCCACAACTGGTCTCTTTGAGTGACCAGCGCCAGCACCATTACCCTAGGTAAGCCAAATTTTGTGGCTGCAAATTTTTTATCCCTATTTCTCCCCACCACTTAGGCTGGCAAAAGGTGTCTGGTTTAAATTTATCAACCCTTTTGAATCAAAATCCCCGAAGATTTTCTTGATTGGAGATAAAAAAGAAATCAGATCAAGAATTTGAGGTGAAAAGTTTTGGCAAAGTTTTACATTGGCTGCCTAGCTAACACAACCTACCTCCTTTACCTGAGCTTGGGACGGGTTAAGGGAAATTTTAAGATCCTCACTCTTCTTAGACCAATCAAGAATTTGAGGTTCGTTCTAGAAATCCTGAAATTTTTTATCTTCGATTTCTTCAAATACTTGATGAGATCTGAAAAGTTTTGGTTGCGCTTTGATGGAGGACTAAATAATGAATCTAATGAAACAAATTTGGGGTTATTTGGTTGAGAATTGAAAGAAGTTTGGTGGGTTGGGTATGTAGGATACATGAAGTAGCTGATTTTTTTATGCAACTAAAAAAAAAAAATTAATTTTTATTTTTAAAATTTTTTTTATTTTCTAGGACTTAAAAAGTTTTCTTTATGGTTATTCTTCCCGTTTTTTAGTTGTAGAGATTTAAGGGGTAGAATTGAAAGTTTAATTTTTTTAAAAAGATTAGATATGGGTGGGGATTAACATGGTTGGGTTGGTTAGGATATGTTAGACTTGTTTTTAAGAGATAAGGGAGGGATAGATTTTAGTTTTCTATTTTTATTTATTATTTATTTTAGTTTGTATTTAAAAGGAAGAGCTCCATTCTTTTTAGAGAGTGATTAGTGATTGAGTAAAGAGTTTGATATTGTGAAACAATCTTCCTTGCAGGCCCAGAGAGGGTATAATCTTTCAACCTTTTTAATTTTATTTTTTATTATTTTCTCCCTGCATCAGTTGGTATCAGAGCCTTGAGATCAGAGATTCATTCACTATGTGGAGCATTTGGACCGATTGATCAAATATTTGAGCAATTCGATCGACAATTCGATAGACACATGGATGACCTTCAACTATATCTACAAGATCTACTTAGTATATTGCAACAAGAGGAACAAGAATCTGAAGAGGTAGATCTCTATACAAAAGACGATATCAATAACCCAAACGTGCAAAAAATTTTGAAAATCAATTATGAAGAAGAAGATATGTGTGATGCAATATTTGAAATCCAACCTGTGAGTCTGAAAAAGAAATTAAGATTAAGCTTGAGATCCCAGTTTTCTACTTCAAGTTGCACACAAAGTATTTGATGAATTGGTTTATTAAAAACAAAGTACTGAGAAGAATGTTGAGACTGCATTATCAACTTTTGAGAAGGCCTATGAAAGATTTAACTTCAATAAGCTCGAGATCAAGCTTCTCGCAACCCCAGGAGAATCATGCAAATAAAAAAGTTATTGTTTAAATTTTTTATTTTTATATTTTCTAAGACTTAGAAGACATGTTATTTGGATTTTTAGTTTTTTTTAAGCTTATTCTTATTTTTTTTAGTTGTAGAGATTTAAGGGATAAAATTGGAAGTTTAGATTTTTTTTAAAAAGATTGGATATGGATAGGGATTAGCATGGTTGGGCTGGTTAGGATACGTTAGACTTGTTTTTAGGAGATAAGGGAGAGATATAATTTAGTTTTCTATTTTTATTTATTATTCTCTTTAGTTTGTATTTAAAGGGAAGAGGTCCATTCTTTGTAGAGAGTGATTGGTGATTGAGTAAAGAGTTTGATATTGTAAAATCTTGGATTGGATTCCCTTGTAGATCTAAAGAGTGGGTATAATCTATCAAACTTTTTAATTTTATTTTGTTTATTATGTTCTCCCTGCATTATTTTTGTTGAGGAAAAGTTCGAAAATCCAAAAGTCAAGCAACCCAGGGGGTTCTATGAATTTTTTTTTATTTTTAAAAAAGCCAATTTTTTTAAGTTTAAAGTGCCTTGCAAAAGATTTGGCAGGTCGACTTGCTCAAGTACGGGTGAGACTTGGCCCGGCGAGCCACCGGTTTTGGTTTGCCTTGTCAGTGTTTCAGAAAGTGCAACATGCTTGTAAATAAATTCTTCGTGCATTGAGAAATTTGCAGCCTGTGGCATAGTTTTCAAATTTGTCAGATTTTTGGGTTTGGGCCTTCTTAATAGGTCTGTTGGATGAGAGACACTATATCCTTGATTTCAGGCAAGTTTCAAATTCATTCTTTTATTTCATGATAGATTTGCTTTATTTTTCAGAATTGGAATCCACAAATTTTGCAAGTCCACTGTTTTCTCTTCTTTGAATTTTCCTAAGAAGAGGTTTTATTAAATTCTATCTGAAATCCATATTACAAACTGCATTCCCCCATTGAAAACCTTTATGAAGAGGCAAAATACCGATCATATTCATATTTGTTACTTGAGATTGGATTGAGGTTGCAGCTTAATTGGATAGCCTCATTATAGAATATTACTCTATAGGATATGGAACTATAGGTTCTTTCATCATTGTGAATGCAAATGTATATTCTGCAAGTCCATTTGTGAGTATGTTCCGTTTTGACTTTTTTTGTATTTTCTGGTGTAGGGTCTGAGTTTTTTCAATTGGAAACTCGAGAAAGGCAAAACTGAGCATGCACAGTATATTTGGTCAGAATCTGACTGGCCAAAGAATGGTTGGGCTGGATCTGAATCTACCCCAGTTCCTACATTTGTTTCTCCAGGTGTTGGGCTTGGTAGCAAGAAAGGCACAAACCTTGGTTTGGGTGGAGCAACCATTGGCATGAGTTCTTTGGCAAGACCAGGGAAAGATTTAACTGGTGGTGGAGCATTTGGAATTCCAGGTTATGCTGGTATTGGAGCATCAGGGTTAGGCTGGGGTGAACATGAAGATTTTGAGGGACTTACTGATCCACCCGCAACAGTTCAAAATATCAGTACACGGGCCTTGGCTAGCCATCCCTCATTGCCTTTGTTTTTGGTTGGCTCCATTAATACCCATGTTTATCTTTGGGAGGTATGTGAACTAATGTGCCATGAAAGTATGCGTGTTCCTTAGGTTTTTGCTTACAAATCTTGGTTTTGGATCAGTGTGCATGCACAAACATTTATATATGCACTTAGGCATAATCATCACATGCACCCACATCTGTGTGTGCATGTGTTTTGGCATCTATATGTTTGTTATGTACATGTGTGTGTGTGAGTGTTATTGTGCATATGTGCATTGTCAATCTTATAGATGGGTGTGGATGTCTTATGTGTTTTGTAGCGTGCATTCATCTTTGACAGAAATCATTATTCATTGGCGCATGTATATTTTGCTGGAGTTATCGAAATTCCACACACACACATGCAGGGAAAGCGCAAGGATTGGTCTCTCTTGTTTTTCAAAGTTATTCTAGGTCCTAGTTGTTGATTTACATATGTAGGTAGAGAAAGGATTACTCGCTTTCATGTCTCATACTCGATGTAGAAATCCTAGTCATCTTAGAACAGTCTCTTTACTCATTTATAGTCTGAACAACTTTGCCTTTTAGCTAGATTTTCCATTAGTAATGTGTAGCATAACTTTTCATTCTGCCTTTTATATAGTGTTTGCCTTGGTGATGAAATGAATATCATCGTTGCTTATGTAGTTTGGCAAAGATAAAGCTACAGCAACATATGGTGTTCTGCCCGCTGCAGATGTCCCCCCACCATATGCACTAGCATCAATATCAGCCTTGCAATTTGATCAATGTGGGCACAGATTTGCTACTGCTGCAATGGATGGCACTGTATGTATATGGCAACTTGAGGTTGGAGGAAAGAGTGATGTTTGCCCGACAGAATCCTCCCTTTGTTTTCGAACCCATGCATCGTAAGAAATCTACTAAGAGATTTATGTTCTTCCTGAAATGAAATGCAATTTTTCCTTTGTCTGAACCACTTGACAAGGTATGATCTTTCTCTTGCAGAGATGTGAAGTACGTTGCCACTAGTGGATCAATTCTTGCTGCGGCAGGATCTAGCCCTAGTGATGTCAATGTTGTTATATGGGATACTTTGGCCCCACCAGCCACGTCGCAAGTTTCTCTTACTTGCCATGAAGGTATATGCGCTAACTTAAATGGGCTTCATGATTGATTTTCTACTAACTGTTCATTATGCTTTAAAAAAGCACCTAAAACATGTGCCCCATCAGCTCTGCCAACTCTATCAAGAATAAGTGATGTGATGATTGCAACACCATAGTACCATTTTCCTGGATATTCCGAAGTTAGTTATCCTATCAATATTGCCTATTAGATTCCAAAGTGATACTCTTGATTTCTCAGATCTGCCTAGAATACCTCAAAATGGTAAAGATCTCAAGAAGGTTTCTAGGAAAAGAGTCAATACCACCAAAGAAAAGCATGAAGGGCCATGTTCCCCGTGGTCACACGGTTCTTATATTAACATAAATGCCTAGTGATCTAGATTATTTCAGAAACATCCCATGACCAAATTTATATTTACAAAATGACCGAAGAATACAAGAAAGGTAAACAATAAAATACACTTTTCACCCTGTATGATATCACTCTGCGATGTCAAAACGTGTGAAAGCATGCAAATTACTAGAAAGAAAAAGCATTTTATGAAATTTTCAGTACAGCAATCAGAACAAATGAAATTCCAATCAGAATTTTCCCATCAAATTTATTCACGAGTGTGCTAGAATAAAATAAATTAGCTATCATAAAATTGTTGATGACTTACAAAAATGCTACGGGTCCCAAACTTCTCGTACACTCTTGATATCATCATTTGTTAGTGTAAGTAAACAAGTGGGAGTAAATTTAGCTGAAGGGAAAACCAAGGGAAAAGGGTTTTCATGTCTGCAGCTCCGTCCAACTACCTTCCCATTGAAAAATCCTATAGCAAACCGCCAGATGAATGCAATAAGATAACATAGTGATTGTCAACATGCTATGACACATTCAGATTTGTGGGACTTTAGGAACATAAAAAACTTTCTAGGAGGAAAGATGAGAGAGTTCATAAAGAAAAATAAATATGTATTCAACACTCAACGCTTCTTTTCGCCATTATAATGAGTTACGTGCTCAATTTTCTGCTTATCACTCATCATATGGTGGTAGCACCAGAATCAATGACCTAAGATTTAGATGGAAACATACTAGAGGAGGATCCCTTACCCTTAGTTGCCTTGAGAATTTATTCTGTTATTTCCTAAAATTTGTAGTTGTGTTGGAGGTGGTGCAGACCATAGTTCCCAGGATCTTTTATGGAGGGAGTCACTACCGCTCTAGAAGCTCAATCTTGCATTCCGAGACACGAGATCTCGATTCCAAATGATTCCTTAGTATTTGGGATCTGGACCCGGGAAATCAGGGAACTCGATCCCATCTTAATGGGATCCAGATCTCTTTGTCAAAAATCATAGTTCCATGAGTAAGCAGAACCATTATTTCACCAACTTAGAGTGGAGTATTTTGAGAATGAGTTTCACGGGCACACTATTTGGTTCGTATAAAATGGAGTGTGCCTCTCCCATTTTTATGACCTATAAACTTTCTAAGTGCCATGATTCCCTACATGTTTTACAGTTCACAACTTTACAAACCATATGAACCATGACTTATTGAAAGTACAAGATTTCATGATTTATTGAAAGCACGAGATTGCCTCTGAGACATGCTTCCTCTCTGATCCCTCTTTTTGTTATTTCATTGGTTTCAATGCACCTACAATAGGGGGGGAGTAAGAGAGTTTATTTTGTTATTGTGTGTGAAAGGTCAATGACATGATTCTTGTTTACATTGATACTTGGATTTTTTAATTTGGAAAAAGTTAAACATATTATTCAATGAAATTGAAGGAAAGTTCTATAGGACAGCTGTGATACCAACTTTACTTTATAGGACGGAATGTTGGGCGATCAAGAAACAACATACTTAGAATAATTGTAGTTGAGATGGGGATGTTGCGATGGATAAGTAGCAAGACAAGAAGGGATAGAATTTGAAATGAATACATTTGGGAGAATTTAGGTGTGGCACCAATAGGTAATAAGATGAGAGAAAGTAGACTGAGGTGGGCTGGCTATGTGTACAACAGCTGTTAGGAGGTAAGAGTCAGTTCAAGTGGAAGACTCAAAAAGGGCAAGGGGTAAGGCCCAAAAGGACATGGTTGGGAGTAGTAATAAAAGATATGAGGACTTATGGCCTCTTTGAGGTTATGACTCTCAATAGAGCAGAATGACAGACTAGAATTCATGTAGCTGACCTCAATTAGTTGAGAAAAGGCTTTGACAATGATGATGATGATGATATTGTTCGATGGAATTCGCTTTAAGTGAACTTAGGGAACCTTGATCCTAATCATGGCAGATTGTAATCCCATTTAGTTAGGAATTCCATTTGGTGCAGATATGGAACACGCTCCCTAAAAGTCAAGGATTTCTATCCCCTAACCTAAACATGTGCAGAACTCCGGATTTTATAGCCTACCTCACAACGCGCCTCCACTCCCGATATCGGCGCTCTTGTTGCTCCCATTCCCGTTACTATGGTGCATGCATAGGAATTTTCACCTGTAACTTCTTGCATCTAAGTAATGTCTTCACCAACACTGGCAACAAAGGCATGCAACTTTAGAGTTTTAGGAGACCTCTTCTTACACATAGAAGTAATATGTACTACTTCCTTACAATAATAGCATGACATTCGGATTCTTGAGACATTGAGATGGTATATAGTCATATTATTTGCTAGCGTAACACTATACTAAAATTTCGTACTCTTTACCTTATTAGAAGCCAAAAGTATTGCATCATGTATCTTTAGTTAGCAATTCTACCAGTGCTATGTCCTAGTCAAGCGTCACAGATCTATTCAAGAATGAAGATTTAGTTAATTGGAACTCATCTCGAATCAGTGTAGATGGGATATGGCACTCAATCCATAATTCCCCAGGCTACTTTAGGAACTTATGTGATGCAAGCAAAAAATTATTCTTATTTTCAATTTTATTCAATTTCAAAGGATGTATATTTTGATTTTAGTTTTAGAGTTTATTTTTAGGGTTTTTAAGTTTTCAAGGATTTTAGGATTATTTTATATTTTTTATTTAGTATTGACTGGTTACTATTCATGGTACTGTTTATAGGTACTATTCATGAGTACTGTTCACAGGTTTAAGTTGGGACTTTTTTGGTCAGTTTAATTATTGTATGGATATTAATATCTTTGAGCATTAAATTATAATTTATAAGAGTTGTGTGGCCTTGAGGGGGTCATTCCACATGATTTTTAGAAATTGAAAATGAAAGAAAAGCTTAGGCTTTTAGAACCTTAGCTTGGGATATGGAGAAGAAACCATAGGTTTCTTCGACTTGTGCTTGTGTTTAGCTTCTTTTTTGCAGATTTACTGTTTTCTCAAATTTTCCTAGTGCGTGGCTTGTTTTCTTCGAGTTTTCTCCAACTAGGGGAGAATTATGCAGGACAAAATTATTTTTATTTTTAATTTTATTCAATTTCAAAGATGTATTTTTTTATTTTAGTTTTAGGATTTATTTTTAGGGTTTTTAAATTTATTGGGATTCTAATATTTTTTTAAAATTTTTTATTTACTGTTCACTGAATACTATTCCCAAGTACTATTCATGGGTACTGTTCTGTTCATAGGGGTAAAATTGTCTTTACAAATTATGTCTTTAGGTTAGGACCTTTTGAGCCATTTAATTATTGTATGGGCATTTAATGTCTTTGAATATTACATTATAATATATGAGATATGGTGGGGCCTTGAGGGAGTCATTCCACATGATTTTCAGAATTAGAAAAGAAAGAAGAGCTAGGCTTTTGAAACCCTAGCTGGGTTAGGGAAGAAACCCTAGGTTTCTTCGAATTGTGCTTGTGCATGGCTTGTTTTCTTGCTGATTTCACTTTCTATCAATTTCCCTACATCACGATGGTTTCATCAATCCCATCTCATTCCACAAAGTTACGTGGAGCAAAGTAAAGTAATACTCGTGTGTTCCTATTTTCGTCAACTCCTGCTCAATTTGGGATGATCATATCTTCTTCAGGTAATCCCACATCTCCTTGGTGAAAATAGCTGAATCCAGTGCATTACTGTCCTCAACTGATTGGAGAATCCAGCTTTATTTTTTATTGTTTTTGGGAGTTAAACCAGTATGCCAGTTCTCCATTATGAGGCACCTTTTTAATCAACAGGTCTAGATGTTGACCTATCAACTATCCCAAACAAATCTTTGCCCCTTAAAGAGTTTCTCATGATGGATGACCAAAGGAAATACTTTCTCCCATTTTGTGATTGGGAGGCACAACATGTGATGTTTCCCCAAAGCCATTATTAAGCAACACTAGAGTTCAAACACACAATAATGAAAGGGAACACTACATTAGAAGGAATGGAAAACCTGGAAGCAAGTAGTGTACTGCCCCTCAAAATATTTGAAGAGATTGGAAACGAGGAAATAAGTGCTGGAATGCCCTCAAAATACTCATAGCAGCCAAATCTAGAAACCAGTCCCCTTTCCAGAAATGGATTGAAGGTTAAATCTCGATTGAAGTCTTCAAACAACCATAAGAAATACCTCAGATTTCGGTGAAGAAGAAAAATGGAGTTTTATCTGACAAAAGTAGTAGAGGAAGATAGATCCACTTAGTTTCTATTATATCTGATACGCAATCTTTTAGGTCAAATAACTACGATGATAAGCTTAACCAAAGAAGTGAGGGATCGTTGCAACAGGGAGATAGGGTGTAGGAATCCTAATTTAATCATCGGAAGACACTTGACATGCAATACACCTACTCTGATACCATGGTAGAACCAGTGACACTCTTGATCTCTTAGGACTTCCCTAAAATACATTAAAATGGGAAAGATGTCAAGAAGGTTTCAAGGAGAAGAGTCCATACAACTAGACAAGAATACAACTAGACAAGAACTTGAATGGTCATGTTCCCCCTTGGTCACATGGCTCTCATATTAGTATAAAGAAAAAGGATGTACAAGTACAGCATTACCAACAGTGATCTAGAATACTACCAGTGTTCTTAAATGGTGGATGATGCG